TGCCTGCCGCAGAGCAGTGGGGCTTTCCTGTGCCTGACAGCAGCGGCTCACAGCAGCAGTGGTTCCCACCTGCCCTCCTCTTCCCATGGAGCAGCAGGGCTTACTTCCACCTAAGGAGGCAGCAGCAATGGCTCCTCCCACCCCCCCAGCCTGCCTCCACCTCCTCCCGCAAAGCAGCAGGGCTCCTGCCTGCCTGCCTGAGGCAGCAGAGCGCCCTCAGCCAACTGTCACTGGCCCTCTCAGCAGCACATGTGCAGTTGCCCAAAAGCGTTATGGACAGACAGACACAGACGCCCTTTATTATATTATAATTATTCACCAAAAGTTATGGACAAAAGAACAGTTGGAGCAGTTTCAAAAAACAAGCTGCTACTGGAAGTGTGCAACAAGGTCTATGTTCTCATAAGCGTGCACAAGCTGAGACTGATACAAGTGTAATAAGATGGCTCCCACTTTAACCCTGTAACAGTGTCAATGCTGCTGCCTGAATCGAGCAACAGTCCCTCCTCCCCTTTTGAAACTGCTCCAAAAGAAATGTCTGTCCATACCTTAACTCTAGTCAGTTATACCTGTACAAGGCAGGGAGGACAACAGGGTTGCCAAGCATAAAGATCAGAATTTAGCAATTAAAGATCTTCATTTAATGGTGACGATGCAAAAAGAGGAAAGAGCCTCACTTGATTTATAGATATCAGGTGGAAGAACATGTAGTAACTAGAACACATCTTACTTGCCAACTAAGCAAATGTGATATGGAAAAATGAGAGAGAAAGAAGTTTGAACCGTGCAATGCCTCTCCCCCATACTGAGACTTTTCTAAATGGAACTAATTCAATCACTAATTATACCAGTTCGTATCAAACCTTTTAGTTCTGTCCCAAACTTTAAAATAATTAGTTGAACTTCATAGCTTGACTATATAAAATGGACAACTTTCACCAAATGTATCTGTGACCAATCTCCAGTCTGCAGGACAAAATGTACATGTAGCAATTTCAGTTAAACACCAGGGAAGCAAATCAACTCACTTAAAATTGGTACAGCTATAGTCTTCTGCATGACAAACTTTTGCTACAAGAGTGGTCAGTGCTATTATTTCTGTTATATTGCATCAAAATAGAATACAGTACAGTTTGGATCTATGGAGATTAAAAACAACATTTGAAAGGAAACCTTTTACGTATTTAGATTAAGATCTATTCTACCCGATCCAGAGAAGCTCAGCATGGCTTACTCAAATACAAATATCCAAGACACCACATTACAGTTACTAAAATCTCACCATAGCATTTTCAAAAAAACCCCAAAAACACGCAAATACAATTGCAATTATAAAGTAATATCCAAAACCCTTATGTTACAAATAGTATTTTTAAATTAAAAAAAAAAAGTACTAATTTTAGCATGCTTTCTAAATCTGAAGTCCAAAGACATTTTATATTTTGATTCAAGATCTTACATATGCATGTGCTTATATACAGTCAGCACTTCCACCATAGGTATTTTTGCACCTGTACTAGCAGATGCTGACCACAGAGCCAGTTAACAACTACAACACATTCATCCTCCTGAAAGGCAGATCCTACAGTTACAAAGAGCAAGCATACACGTTATTATGCCTCTGCTCATCTGCTACCTAATTAAAGAGGTAGGATAAGGAAGATCTCTTAAATCAGCAGATACTGTTTTGATCTGTTGGGCAGCCAACAACTGTCAGATGCTGAAGTAGCCTTTGACCTTAACTTATAGTAGGCTGAGGAACCAATCCTGTACACTGACCACACAAGAGTAAGCTTCTTGACACCTTATCTTTCCACTTTTCTTCCATCAACTACACTTGACCCAAACCAAAAATCTAATATATAGGCAGCTGACTGCAGTAAATGGACCACAATCTTGCAGAAACCTCCCTCTGCATCTTCAGAAGCCACTATTTCAAGAAAATTTGGCCCTACACAGCATACCATAAAAAGAATGTACAAGACTACTGTCATTCAATAATGATCTAGAACTTAACCCATTTCTGCCTACAAATATCTGACATAAAAACAAAGTCCTGCTCACCCATCCCTGCCTGAAGCGCTGAACAATCAATTGTATGCACGCTGAGGTCTCTCTACAATATATCAGGTATTGGTTACTTCTGCAGCCAAAATTGTGCTCTTATTGAAATGAGACTAGTGACTTGCAGAGATTACTCCTGTGCAATTAAGCTGAGCCCAAGAAAGCTAACTTATGAATAAAGTGTAAGTAGATAACAGACATGATTTCTTATTAGACCAACTAAAATAGTTGGTAAAATTGGTTTAATAAGAGATATCAGATTTACCCAAAGAACCTCATCTGCCTACATCCTTAGACCAACACAGCTACAACCAACACCTCTAAAATGATAAAATGCCCTTTCCTACCTTGACAATAAAAGTATTGGTAACTTAGATTCATAGATTCTAGGGTCGGAAGGGACCTCAATAGATCGAGTCAGACCCCCTGCATAGG